AATCTGAGCATGTCTAAGAGTGACATGCAATGCTTACAGGACACAAGCTCTGAAGCTCTTTCCTCTACTTCAAAAGACTCCATTTCAGCAGATAGTAATCACATCAGTACCTAAGTGGATTCTGCCTTGTTCTTCCACTGAACATGAGCAGACAAGACCAAGAACATATATTTCCTGAGATGTCTTAATGTAACAGTTCCATGATACCTGTAAGAAGACACATTCTGGGCTGTAGAATTAAGACTAGGCTTAGGTGAGAAGATGGAAAATCACGGCACTTAGTTCCTTCCTGGAGTGCTCCATCCTAGGCTTGAACTCAAGAGCTCAGGGCCTTGTGCTATCACTCAACTTTTTCTGTTTGTAGCTGGCACTCTACCACTTGAGGCACACCTCCAATTCAGTTTTTTTTTTTTTTTGCTCATTAATTGGAGATATTCTAGCAGACTTCTGTGCCTAGGCTGATTTTGAACTGAGATCCTTAGATCTCAGCTTCCTTGTAGGCATGAGCCTACAAGGTGCCTGGCTCACAAATATTCTACAAGCTATATTTGACCAGATAGAAAGCCAAGCTTAAAGTATTTGTTTTATCTTTGTCAGAAAGTCTATGCTATGACAACATGTAGTAATTTGGGAAGATTAAAGGAGGGTATAAACATGGCTGAGAAAATCACATGGGACTTCCACTAAAATCCCTTACCCCAATACTCTGTTTCCCACAAAGAGCCCTAAGATGAGATGATCCACTTAACACTGACCAAACTAAGGCTCTATAGCAAATGGATTGCCCTGGAATAAAAACAAGCTTTCCAGAAACTTTGATAGAATGCGTTTGGAGTTACCTCTGTACAAATTTCCATTAGTACTTTTGGCTAGAATCTGTGTTTAAAAAACATCACTACAGTAAAATCCATTAATTATGCAGGCCCATTAGTCTGCAGAAGGGAGAGAATGAGATGTTTCTACGCTGAACTCACCCTTTTTCTTTTAACATATAAAGACATGCCAGTGACTGAGTGTCTCTCCTAGAGAAGTTAGTACTTCATGTGCTGATTCCAGAGTCAAAAAGTCCAGAAAAAACATGTTCTTAGATGACTATATAACGAGACCACCAACTCTGTTTGCACTGATGGCAAATTCAAGACTAGTACAACACCCATAGTTTTATGCCAGCACCTTTCTCCATATTTAATAGGTGATTAAATTTTTTAAAGCATTTGATGATCAATATATACCCAGAGAAAGGGCAGAAGAAAATACAGGCCTGATGGCTACACATCATATTGGTATTTATTTGGGATTTCTTACTTCTCTGAGGAAGGCATACTTGAAAAATGCTATGCTCTGCAAAACTGTTCACTAAAGATTAATTTAAAGGATGGTCTCTATTGGATGAGTGCAACATATTTCATGAAAGCAAAAAGTCTCATTCAGTGGTTTTCAGACTATTTAGAATCCTTATAAAGACTCTTACAAAAAGAAAGTGAGTTTAAATTTCATTTTCAGTAGTGGCATTAATACTACACTTTCTAATTAAACCACCCAATTGTGGTATTTGTCAAGAATAAGGATTATAGGTAATGAGTGAGTTACCCAGGTTGCCTATCATACAATTGACTATCAGTTTGGAAACTTAGATCTCACGTGTATTGAGCTCTGAACCCTTCAATCAACTAGGTGTCTTCACAGGCAGTAGGTCAAAATTATTGTTTATCAGTCACAGAAGTACATCAAGAAGTCAGTGTTGTGATGACCGCTTCAAAGCTGGACTCCTGGTATTTCCAATTTGTGGTGGGTGAGTTTTTTGTTTGTTTGCTTGCTTATTTGTTTGGAAACATTTCTAGTTTTTGATAAAATATAGCAAGGATGTCCTGAGGAATATCTTCCAGCAACATTATTACTCATAATCTTCTCTCATAATTTTCCTCTCAAGGGAAGGAAGGAAATGCAGCACTTTGCAGATTGTAGTCATGGCTGCTTTGCCCTGCCTACACTCTTAAAACTGCTGCTTGAAGAAAAATTGAAACTGCAAACATATTGATTCCATGTTAGTGGCATTTTCCCCTATAAAACTCACCTGAATTTTATTGGCTTAAATGGATTTCAAATGGGGTGATCAGTGCTCAGGTACAAAGGAATGTGACTCCAGATTTCTATTGTACCACGCTTCACAGCTCCCTTATCGGCAGCTGTGTTCATGTTCTAATTACCTGGATGGTAAAATTGCTTTGCAATGTTATACCTAAAGTGTCACCTCAGCCTTTTCCAGCTACCCAAAGAAGAGGAAGCAACTCATGGTGGAGGTGAATCAAAAGGTGAACTTTCTGTAAAGTTCAGTTAGAATTAGAATTGCTTTTCTGTATTTTGCATCTACAACAAACCAGACAACTTGAGAGATGGATATTTCTAAGCTATGATGGCATCTTTGACTTGATGTGAAAACAATTGAAGATTTCAAAGGGCTGGATTTATTTTGGTCAATTAAAGTGCTTCCTTAATTGAGCGGCTTCTCTATATACTCTTGCCCTATGCTGGTTCACTTTGTTACATCCACATCCTGGTTACTGCACAAAGTGAGTAAAACACATCATTAGCTTGGAGTTACAAAGGCACAGTGTGAGAAGAAGAGGTTATATGGTGTCAGGAAAAGGGCAAGTACAAATGAAAATACGGTATATCTTGTTAAATCCCTGTAAATCATTCCCATCTGAAACCCAGGAAAGGGAGACATGAGGAGCCTTAATTTCATTAGCATCATAGTGGTGCCTCATGCAAACTGGACACTTGTCCATTTTCTCATCTGGAAGTTGGGGAGGGCAATGCTCTCTCCCTCACTGAGTGGTGGTGAAGAATGAAGGAGAAGAGCCCTGCAAAATGCTTAGCACAATACCAGGCATGCAACAGGACATCGAAGAAGTGGAGACAACTATTGCATACTTCATTTTGCAAAAAAAGAGATAATCTTATCAGGAAAAAATATTCTAATGCCTTGATTATTTTCCCAAAGGTAGCACAGATTCTTTTTATTCCTCAGAAGAGATTACCACAGATTTTTCTGGACTTTTCTTTCAGGAGTGGTACATCTGATGATGTAACTCAATATAAAGAATCTGACTTCTTTAAGGAACAGATATCCTGTTGTCTTTCCTATGTCAGTGTGTCTGGCCATGCTTGGAAGCCCTAACTGGCCTTTAAGCAGGCAGGTTGTAGGAAATCACAAATATTATCAGGATGCTGACTCCTTAAAGTTCATTTATTAGTATCTGAATAGCCTCAGGTGATGCTAACTTTCTTTATAGCCAGCAGTTTGCTATACAACCTGTTACAATTTTGAAAAATATTCAAGGGAGATGGAGAGGTTGGATGTGTGCATTTTGGGGAGGGATGCTGATGAGTTCACTTAGCAGTAGCTCAAAAATAAAAGTTCCAGTTATTTTATTTTTTTCGTCAAAACATTGGCAAAGGATCACTTGGTCCTAGCTAGGGTTTGTGATAGCCAAGGCTGTCATTATGTAGACCTTACTGGGAGCAGTAATAAGACAGTATATAAAACTTCAAGTGGGTTTGAATGATTGATCTAGTTTTAAGATGGAGCCTCAAAATTCAATGTTTGTTAGAATGACTAGCTTCATTTCAGAGTGCAAAGGGTATGTGCATGATAGAATGCCCAAAAGGCGGAGAGCAAGAAGGTCAGCATATTCCCAGACACACCTCAACTGTGTTCACAGAGCTACCCTAAAACCATGCCAACATCAGACCAAAAAATGCTATTTTTCAAAATTCATGTCTCAGAAGAATTTATGCCTCAGGGTTCTAGGTATGTGAGAAATTCCTAACTTTACTTTCAACATTTCAGAAAAATTGTCAGACTTTCTCTTGCTTCATATTCAAAAGTGCCTTTCACTTGCATTAGAAATACATGCTGTAGTTCATTTCACTGGAAAACAGACCAGGCAGATTTGTTGATTGTGTCACACACACACACACACACACACACACACACACACACACACACAAATGGGAAGATTAAGACATCAGTTTTGTTTCCATTAGCACAATTAATCATCTTATCATCTGCCCTGCATCATCATTATATTAATAGACTTTCTCCTAGACTTCTGAATTAACAACAAAACATTCACATGCTGAATTGAAAAATATGCATTTAACCAGCTCATGCATTTAGAAATCATTACTAGCAGAGGTGACCAGTTATTTTGCCTTTGTTGAAATTTAATAATAGCAACTTTTCTCCTGATTAGCTACAGATAGGGAAAGTATCAGAGCCAGGGCCGGGCATTTGGCAGATGGTGGTACAAATACCCATGCAAAGAAAGGCAGAAGAAAGCAACAATAACTTGGCATTGAGTATTTCGTGGAATGTGAGATTTACTTGAACAGTCTGAATACTTTTTATATAGAAATTCATTGCCTTAAAAAGTATATCACTGGATCATCTGGGACTCTCATTCATTTTCTATTGGTATAAGATCTTATGAAATTAGCACACTATATTTGATAGCTATTAATTGAGTTTAAGACAGTCCCACTGTGATACTGATAAAGAAACTTTAATTAAAATGTAAGCAAGATATAGAACAATGATTTCACTAAAACATTCAACTCTCTCACGGAAGGTTAAGAGTAGAATATTACATTTTTAAAAAACCAAATGTGGAGGTATGTTTAGTTTTCTTATCCTGTTAAAAAGAATCCCAGCATATACTTCCACAGCGGATGTAAGTTATCACACAATTACAGAACCCAGCCGGGTTTATTTTTTGTTGTTGTTTAAACACAAGAATAAGAGAAAGCAAAGTAAAACAAAAGGATATTATCAACCAACATTGCAAAAATCAAATCTTTTTTGGAAAGAAAAGTAAACCATACAAATGGACCTGTGCAAACACATGTGCACACACACACACACATATACACACAGCCAAGCTATAAATCAATGGAGAGAGAGAGAGAGAGAGAGAGAGAGAGAGAAATAAACTTACCGGAGCAAATATCACCATACACATTTACAAAAGAATTGATAATCCAACTTCCCTCTCCTGAAAGAAAATAGAGGTTGTCTCATACTAAAAATAAAGCTCTTCTGTCCACAGCACCAGCCAGTTCTCCCTCTTTTTATGAAGCACAGGAGGAGAACAAGAAAATCAATGCGGAGGGAAAGTGAGATGTTATACCAATCAGGTGGCAGCTTCTGCCTTATTTGCGGAGAGATGGCAAACCAGTCATATTAGTAGACAGTGACAGCCCACAGCCGACACTTCCCTCTAGTGAAATGCTGCCTGCTTTGTGGGGAGGTGACTACTACCACACTTGGCTCTTTGCTCACAACTGGAAGTGCTAGACTGCGTTGCACAAACACACTGCATCACGAGCAGAGGCACTATCTCCCCTTTTACTCCGAGAGCCCCCCTCCTCCCTCAACCACAGCACTTAAAAACAAACTGGGAAATTAAAAAAGGAGCAAGGATTTTTGCCTACTCAGGGTGCAAGGAGGTGTGGGGGGGGGCGTGAAGCAGTGGGTTTTCACAAAGTCTTTGTTAATAGATTTGCATAGATTAGGTAAATGTTACGATGCTTCTTAAAAAACATTGCCCTTGTTTTTATGGAAATACATGGGTATTATGCATGATCCCCAGTTGGCAATTTCATACTCTGTCCATAAATAATGACTAAGGTGACGGTACTAGAAGACAGGCTTTTCAGGCTCTGGCAACTGTAGAAGGGACAAATTACAACTTGGGTGCTCATTCATCATGGCCAGTGTTATTTAAAGCTTGCTGCATAATCTCGAAATTAAAAAGGCTGGCTTCCGTTTCAATGGCAGAAAAGAGTTAAGCTTGGCTTCTTCAAGGGGCTAAAATCATGGCACCCTGAAGGAAGGTAGGTTTTGGGTGGGGGAGAATGGGGAGGGTAGCCCCATATTCATGGAAAAGCTTCCACAGGTGGTGGTGTCATGAAGATGGTTTCTCCTGGTGCCTTCACCTCAGCCCGGGGTGGAGAAACCTGAATGCTGTCCCTTTCCTGGCCCAATATAGCCTCCCCAACCACCTCCCACCCAACCCCAAGCTAGAACAGAATAGTGTCTGGGGATGGCCCAATAGAAACTCACACAGGTGATGGTTAGTCAGGAATCTATTCCAAGTCTTACTCGGACCCCCTCCCAATGTCTCCCTTTCTCTGTTTCTCCTCCATAAGGTAACAGTTACTATCATTTCCTTCTGTCTCCCTCCCTCCCTTTCTCCCTTCCTATATACAGAAGGAATGGGGGAGGGGAAGGTATGGAACCAAACCAACAATCAAACCAACAAAAACCAAAGGTGATGAGGAGTGAACACAACTTGAGGTCTAATCCTGGTCTTCGACTCACTGTAAATGTGATAGTCCTTAAGTTCTCTGAGCCTCAGTTTGTACTCTGAAAAATGGTCTCACTAACACTTTACAATCTGAAGTGCTATGAGGAAGAAATGAAAAAATAATCCAGATAGTACTTTCAAACCTACCCTACACACATATCAACTTGGCTCAAGGACCAGAGCTTCCTTTCTCCTTCTCCTCCAACCACCTAATTGTTCCTATGCGTAAATCTTCAGGGGTAGTTGAGACTTTACCTGCAGGTACTCAGGGACCTCTGACATTCGGATAGATCCTTTGCTCTCAACACCTGCTTATTGCAAAGTCACTACATTGTAAGGAGGGAAATTACTCAGGGGAGCAAATTAAGCAAGTGAACACAAGTGAAATGGAAAAAAGGCTGAGAGCCTGAGAACCAGCAGATATTTAAGTCAGCACTCAGTAAGCAATTGTGGAATAAATGAGTCAAGGAGCAGACTCATGTCCCCGTGCAAAAAGCCACACATAGCTTCTGCCAAGCGACAGACGGAGTTTAGGAGGTTGCTGTTCCCAGTGCCTCCATAGTTATAGTTCTTCAATGTGGACAGTCATTCTCATCAGTTCAAAGATTTTTTATCTAGTTGACAAGGAAATCAAGACCCAAAGAGTTAAATGGCTTCTCGGGAAGCACATAGTCAATAATTGGCAAAGCTAAGATTTAAACCTAGCTAGCTGCTGTAATCCAGTTGGTAACCACTCAATTCTAGCGGCCACACAATTGTGCTTATACTTTCACTTATTCTGTATATTGGGAATAACTACCACACAGGGATGTGTGGATGGAGCATGGGTAAGTCTCCAATTTACCCCACATGGATTCACACTGCAAAGATGGGAACATGGTATAAGATTCAGCCTGTAGGCCAACGCGCAGGTCCTGGGTCTGCAAGCAGGCCCTGCTGGGTTCTGTGTAGCCCTGAGCATGGTAACACACCTGAGAAGGAAGGAGGTGTAAGGCTCAGCTTTGAATTCACTAACCGTATGCTCTCTGCCCGCTGGGTATGTGCCTGAAATCAATTATGGTTTAGTTTTTCTCCTGTTTACAATGCAGGATTTCCACTGCAATGATCTCCAAAGGGCTTCCTGGGGTCAACTTCAATCAGATGAAGTTCTATGCTAACCGTGTGTCATCTTCTGGTTAGGTTAGCATTCATGTTCTGTTTTTGTATTATCTGTTGCCAACTGACTTCTCACCACAATGGATTTCTAGGAGGTCGCCCCACTTCTACTCTGTCTCCTGGAAATTGCTCTGTAGGCTTTACCTACAGAGAGCCCTTTACGGTGTAAATCAGATTCTATCAGAGCAGAAGGAAATATTCTAGTCATTTTCCAGGAGGTTTGAAGGAAAACCTGACTCCTTTTCTCTGCCTTATGATGTGGGTCCACTTACCTTTCAGCTTGTAATAATACTGCCTCTTTCCTTCCCCACTTCAACTACCTTGACCTTTTGTGCCTTTGAATTTACTTTTTTCTTGTCTGGAATGATCTTTCCTCTGATCTTTTCCTATTGCCTCTCTGCCATTCAATCTTTAAGTTTTACTTTTTTATTGTTGAAAGAGTCCTCTCCCTCCCCATTTTTGTCATTACTGACATTTGAACTCAGAGCCTCATTCTTTCTAGAAGATTGCTCAACCACTTGAGCCATGCCTCCAGGTACACACCTGGACCATGATCCAACTTTTAGGCTTCCTTCCATTTCTGAGATGATGGTGTAAGCCACTGTGTCCAGTTTCCCTTTGTTGAGATGGAGTCTCACATTTTTTGGGGAGGGGGGCTGGCTTGGCTTGAAATAACAGTTTTCCCAATCTCCATTTCACTCAGTTGTGATCTGTAAAGTGTGGGGAAAGAAGGGGGGTCTCAATAACTGTTTTACCTAAACCATCCTCAAACCATAGTGCTTCTGAGTTCAGCCTTCCAAGTAGATAGCAGTACAGGCATAAGCCTCCAGTGCTCAGCTCAATCCGCTCTTCCTTTTATATTATGCTCTGTGTGTGTGTGTGTGTGTGTGTGTGTGTATGTGCGTGTGCACATGCATCTGTGTATGTGTGTGCGCACACATGTGCTTGCATGCCTGACTGTGTGTTGTAGTTACTTTTTTTTGTTTCTCTTTTTCAACTTTGTATTATCTTTTTTTTTTTTTTTTTTTGAACTCTGGGCCTGGGCGCTGTCCCTCAGCTCTTCAGCTCAAGGCGAGCACTCTCCCACTTGAGCTACAGCGCCACTTCCGGTTTTCTGGTGGTTTATTGGAGATAGGAGTCTCACGGTCTCTCCTGCCCGGGCTGGCTTTGAACCATGATCCTCAGATCTCAGCCTCCTGAGTAGCTAGGATTACAGGCGTGAGCCACCAGCGCCCGGCTAACTTTGTATTATCTGATGATGCTTTTGACTTTTTCTTTCCTTATTTATTTTCTCCCTTTCTAAGGGATAATATCTGCAAAGGCAGGGAGCATTTAGGAGCACATCTTGTATATGAGAATATTGGACACGTAGTAGGTTCTAAACAGATGTTTGATGGATAAATAAATGAAAGATTGAATCAACAGACCAACCTGAGAACAAGCTACACTTGGGAAGGTAGTAGAGAACGGTAAGCTCATGAAAGGAGCCTCTCCATGTAACACAGGATAGATGAACATAGCCAATTCATCTACTCTTATTCATGGGTACAGACTGCTTTTGCCTACTCCTGCAGGAAAAACTTCAGTGTCCTATTGTTAGACCACATCAAGATGGAGGAAGGCTCCTTTTGTGAATCATACTCATCAGTGTTTGTTTTTTTCTTTTCTCTCTCTCTCTCTCTTCCTTTCTTTCTTCTTTCTTCCCTCCCTCCCTTTCTTCTTCCCTCCCTCCCTCCCCCCCTCTTTCCTTTCTTTCTTTCTTTCTTTCTTTCTTTCTTTCTTTCTTTCTTTCTTTCTTTCTTTCTTTCTTTCTTTCTTTCTTTCTTTCTTTCTTTCTTTCTCCAGTCCTGGGGCTTAAACTGCGGGCCTGGGAGCTGTCCCTGAGCTTCTTTTGCTCAAGGCTAGCACTCTACCACTTGAGCCACAGTGCCACTTCTGGCTCTTTCTGTGTATGTGGTACTGAGGAATTATACCTAGGGCTTCATGCATGCTAGGCAAGCATCTACCACTAGGCCATGTTCCCAACACTCCCCCCCCCCCGCCATCAGTTTTTCTTAAATGCTTAGGGTCCCAGAGTTCCAAATATTCCCCTAGGCCCATGGGGGAACTGATATTAGAAAAGTCCCCCACAGAGTACTCAGGAGAGGACAAATAGTCCTGTCAGCTAGCCACTCAGACTGTCTTTATCTCTCAATTAATCGGACATTTCAGACAGTTACCTACCTATCTCCATCCTAAATTCAGAACTGACAAAAAATAAATATGCCATTATTTGATGGTCCTTGTTTGAAAATTGATATTATTAACATGGTTGCTTCTGCCTTAAAAAATAACACTCAGCTATTATTAGACTATTAAAAATAGAAGGAGAGTGTTTTCTAAGTGGAGTATTTATAGAGAAGGTTAAGTAGATTAAAATAATCTGTGATTCTCTGGAAGCCTCATTAGCAATGCTAATTGCCAATATGGTCAGATCTTCAATGCTGATCTTTCAGTTGAGCATGGCCTTCTGACAACCTCAAAAGAATTTTTTATTTTCCCTGAATGGAAACGCCTGTCTCCCTTTTGGTGGACATGCCTCCCGGTAAATGCAACAGTTCTTTACCCTTACAGTTTCTATTTCTAAACATCTGGCTTCTCAAAAGGGGTCCTTTCAGGCTATCTGCTGCAGAGTTGGACAGTGGGAGTCTTGGCTGCTTTAGCATTTAACAAACACTGAGAGGAAAATTCCAGAGCCACAAGGA